TAACTTGGGGTAAGTCCCCGCTGTCTCTTATTTTTGACTCTGTAAAATGGAGATAATACTCAGTTTCTGTGCTGCAGAGACGGTATGAGAATGAAGTGTCAAAGCATTTGGAAACTTCCTGCAGTGGCTTGCTAACCTAAGTGTCTGGTGAAAAATACTTGGGTATTAATATTACAGAAACAAACCAGCCCCAGGTATGTTTTATATGCAATGGTGAAAATTTGCTCTTGAATGTCTTAAGCCAGGTTATGATTAGAAAACTTAGAAATGAAACTTTACAATGTTTGTGGGAAGTCTCTTTCAATCTCTGGGAGCCAGTGAGTTAGAACCAATCAGTTAAATTTATCTGGTGGCACGTTAGAGTCACTGGGGGAGATTTTTTTGCAAATTACTGATTCCTAGGCCTGACTCCCAGATATTGTAATTTATTCCATCTGGAGAGGAACCTGGGCATCAATGTTTTAAATAAAATTACTTCAGATGATTTTATTGTGTAGCTGAAGAGGGCTACTGATCTAATGAATATAGATTTGAGGATTTGGTAGCATTCTCTTACACTCCTTTGCTGGTCAGGTTGCAAAGAAGAGTTCCTGTTCTTAAACAGTTGTGGCCTTGTAGCCCTGTTATGGCTCTAGGAGTGGCTGGAGCCAAAACCTTGCCAAAGTAGAGAGCTGAGATCATCTGACAAATTCAGTTGTATTGGAGTACTATGTAGTTTGAACCCTCTTAAAGAAAATTTTGCCAAAGAGATTTTTGGGGTTTTCAGGGTTTTGTGTTGGTAGGTTTGGTTTCTTCTCTGTGGCTTGCAGATGGCCACCTTTCTGTTGCATCTTTACGTGGTCTTTACTCTGTATGCCTGCACCCCTGATGTTTCTGTCCAAAGTGTTAAAGTTTATGTTAAAAGCACTTGGAAGCTTGCTTAAAAAACCATTTGATAATGTCCTAGTATCAGTTATAAATGTTAGTTGTGCGGCCTTCCTTGAAATGTTATAAGGAATCATGTTATACTTTATCTTAGTCCACATGTTCTTGAAACAGGAGAGTTCCCTGAGCCCCTCACCATACATGTGACAGGGGTGTGGCTCATTTATCCCTCTTGTGGGAAGGGGAGCACACAGGTGAGCAGGTGCAGGAGCCAGGGTGAGTGCTTTTGGGCTCTGGCCCCACAGCAGTGTCTAGGGTGTTACAATGCTCTTTCAGCCCTGCCCAGCTTAAGTGTTAAACAGCTCAGAGAAGAGTCAGTGTGATAGCCTTTTTGGGTTCCCCCATGCAGGGCATCCCAAATTCTTGTCCCATGTCTGGGAACAATCACATCACAGGGACTTGAAGGATGGTTAATATGGGGATTTTATTGAGTGATGAAGGTGGCACTGAGTGGGACAGAGAGCTGGAGAGGGGATGGAGTGTGAAGATGATCTTCCCCTGGAGTTCAGCTATCCCATGGCTGATCTCCAGCTGATCTCCAACAGCCCCCAGTCTGAACTCCTCTCCACCTTTAGACACTTCCTCTCTTTTCTTCTTTGCTGCGATGCTCTGCCAATCTGCTGCTGTTGCAGCCTGGCGCATGGGGTTTATATGAGCACAAGATAGGGGTGTGTGGAAGGCCAAAAGGCAACACTTGGGCATGAAAACAGGAATGCCTGTTCTCATTTAGGGCTGCAGGTCCAAGCTTGAGGGTGGAGCCCTCGCCAGGGACCCCACCCTCATATTGCCTGCTCTTAATATTCTTACAGTATAATGAATGCATCAGCAAATTGAAGACAAGTAGTTTTTTGCCATTCCTTATTTAATCAAAATGACAGTTAAGTACTTGTCTTTAGAGTGACTTCCAGGAGAAAACTGTAATATTATATATTAAGGCTATATTTGTTTGTTTTCTTGGTATAATGGCCAGTGTACCATTATAAGTTTTAACTTTAATGTAGTGTTAATGAAACTTAAGCTTTTTACTTTCTCTTCTCATTTATATAGCCCCTTTTTCCTGATTAGATGCACTGGTGATGCTAAATTTAAACAGTTCCGTAATTTATGTTTTTTATATCTAAAACCAATTACTTTTTCCCCTTCTATTTGTAGGTTATGCAATGGTCTCTGCAAGATGGTTTATTCTTGAATTGGACCTTTTTAAGACTGACAAATGCTGGTACTTCATCTTCTATAAGTGGACTATAATTTCTTTTCTCAAGACAACTACATAAGCAGACAAAATTGCAAAGATCTGCCCTGTGTCGAGTATGACAGCCACGACTCGTGGCTCTCCGGTCGGAGGGAATGACAACCAGGGCCAGGCTCCTGATGGACAGTCTCAGCCCCCCCTCCAACAGAATCAGGTAGGATGTTGAAGATACTAGTTAAAGCTACAGTGGGACTGGGCTCAGTGGTTCACACCTGTAATCCCAGCACTTTGGGAGGTTGAGGCAGACGGATCACTTGAGGTCAGGAGTTTGAGACCAGCCTGGCCAACAGGGTGAAAACCCTGTCTCTACTAAAAATACATAAATTAGCTGGGTGTGGTGGTGTGCACCTGTAATCCCAGCTACTTGGGAGGCTGAGGCAAGAGAATCGCTTGAACCCGGTAGGCAGAGGTTGCAGAGTGAGCTGAGATGATGCCACTGCACTCCAGCCTGGGTGACAGAGCAAGACTCCGTCTCTTAAAAAAAAAAAAAAAAAAAAAAAAAACTACATTGGTAGGTCTACTGTTGAGGTACTAAATGATGGAACATGTTCTAAATAATTTGTGAAGCAACTATAAAACTGTTATTTTAGGCCAGGCGTAGTGGCTCATACCTGTAATCCCAGCACTTTGGGAGGCCAAGGTGGGCGGATCACAAGGTCAGGAGTTTGAGACCAGCCTGGCCAACATGGTGAAACCCCCTCTCTACTAAAAATCCAAAATTAGCTGTGCATGGTCGCCTGTCATCCCAGCTACTTGGGAGGCTGAAACAGGAGAATTGCTTGAGCCCGGAAGGTGGAGGTTGCAGTGAGCCGAGATCACACCACTGCACTCCAGCCTGGGCAATGGAGCAAGACTATGTCTGGGAAAAAAAAAAAAACAAAAAACCCAAAACTGTTATATTAAGTTTTGTTTAAGAAAAGCGAACATAAGTCTTGCATAGCAACAAGAAAGCTCAAGTGGTATAGATGGTAATCTTGAGTGTACCCCATCTTTTTCTGGTAGCTTATACTGTCATTAAAATTAACTATTTAAGCCATGTGTCAATTCTAAGGGAGAAAGCATTAAATCATTCAGTGTAGCCTATGATTACCATGGCTAATCATAAACCATGACCCATCATAAATCATGACAACAGTTTCTACCCCATAAATACATACAATTATAAATTGTCAATTTATGGATAAGATTATTAAAAGAGCATGGACCCAAGTCATGTTGCCTAGTGTTCAAATTTCAGCTTTGTACCATACTTGCATTATGACTGTAGGTAAATTATATAATCTCTAAGCCTTAGTTTGTTTATCTGTACAAGTAGGGTAATAATAGTATAACTACTTCATGGATTGTTAAGAGGATCAATTGAAGTAATGCTAAACATAGATTTTGGTATTAAGGTTTTTATGCTGGCCTCAGAACTCATAGGATATAATATTCCCTTTCTGTTCTCTGGATGAATTTATGCACAGTTTATTATTTCTTCAATTGGAAGATTTGCGTAAAAGTTATTGCAGATTCTTTTTTTTTTTTTGAGAAGAAGTCTCACTCTGTCACCCAGGCTAGAGTACAGTGGTGCCTTCTCACCTCACTGCAACCTCTGCCTCCCGGGTTCCAGTGATTCTCCTGCCTCAGCCTCCCAAGTACCTGGGTCTACACCTGGCTAATTTTGTGTTTTTAGTAGAGACGGGGTTTCACCATGTTGGTCAGGCTGGTCTTGAATTCCTGACCTCTTGATCCGCTCTCTTGGCCTCCCAAAGTGCTGGCATTATAGGCATGAGCCACCATGCCTGGCTGATTTAATTTTTTTTAAATGGAGGAATTTTTTAATTTTTGGTGTCTTTTGGTAAATTGTGTTTTTCAAGGAATTTGTCCATTTGGGTTTTTTTCTTTTTCTTTTTTTCCACCTAACCAGTGTGCTATGTCCATTTGATCTAGATCTTCAAATTTGTGGTGAAGTTGTTAATGATAATCCTTTTTATCTTTATTTTTTTGTCTTGGGGTCTATGGTAATGCTTCCTTATTTCTGATACCACTACCAATTTCATTAAGCTTTCTAAAAAAACCAACTCTCTTGGCTTTACTCCCTCCCTGAACCCCCTGCCCGCCAACACTCAAACTCACACATTCACTCTTTTACCGTCTCTTTGTTTCTCTTGGATTTGGTTTGCTGTTCTTCTCATTTTTTGAAATAGAAATTTAGACAATTTATTTCAGTTGTCTTTTCTAATATATAGTTTTATATTGGGAAGTATTAAACTGACAAAACATTAAAACTTGTGATGTGCAGCCCAAACAGTGCTTAGAGGTAAGTTAGTTGAGATGTGTGTAAATGATCACAAACATGCTGCTTCCAATTATTATATGTTTGTGTAGAGTCTGTCGGGTGAGTTTTTAGGCAAAATTGTTATTTTGAAGTATTTATGCTATTATTTGGGGATAAGTTCTTGTCCAGCTATTACAGATTAGATGCTGTATAGATTAGATGCTGTATACTACTTACTATCATAAGTAGTATAGAAAAGAGCTTCTGTCTGTCTCTCCTTTTTCCTCTTCCTCTGCCATTTTAGAGAGTGAACAAGTCGGGGGTTTTTTCTTCCCAAATAAATGTGTCAGCTTTATTCCTTTTCCTCTGTAGTTCCCATTTGCAAAACATAAAATATTAAAAGTGTATGGTCACAGGTCTTGGACAGAGTTAAGTCTTTCCTGTGTTGTAAATTTGTTTGCCACTATTCAGGTTTTTAAAAGTGTAGTCAAAGGTTTGTGTTAGTTGCCAAAAATTTCTGATTTTAAACCAGAAGCTAGTAGGTAGAGGTCCAGTATCTTTCTCTCTTTCTTTTTTATTTTATACCAGCATTGTCCATGAAATTCTAACCTCTTGCAATGTTTCTAACTTGCATGGCTTTAGACAAAATCAAACCTTTTCTTTAGCCCTACTCTTATTTTAAGGTGTACTTGATGATTTTTAGAGCTTTTGGATTTGTGATATTCAACCTAATATACTGTGTCTACATTGTGTTCCTTTTCTTCTAAAAACTTGACATTTTTGAAGATGACTATTACATTATCCTTCACTCTTAAATTTTGTTATTCTCTACTTTTTAATGTTAGGATTTTATTTTATAAGATCTGACATGGTTGTACCAAGAAGCAGCAACCAAAGTGTTAATCCCTATTCAATTTAGGGCTCACTGTTTGGATATGCTTTTTATGTGTTGGCATAAAGGGAATTTCTAAAATCAGATTTTTCACTTAATTTTTTTAAGCATATCTTTAAAAAAAATTCTCTTAGAGAATTTTAGGCTTTAGTATATTGTAAAACTCAATAAATGAAACAGCCTTGGCAGAGGCACCGTAAGATGAACACTCTTGGATGTGGTTGCTGGGAGGGTGCAAATTTTCTGGAATGAAATTTGGCAGCAGTATATGTCAGTGGCCTTCAAAGAAATTGTTTATACTGTTCTAGTAATTATATATCCAGAATACTATCCTAAGGAAAAGTTAAACACAAGGTTTATATGTAAGAACATTCATTCCAGCTATGTTTATGTTTGTTAGCAGTAACAATTACCAAATACTAAAGGTCCTCTTAATTTTGTTTAATTCATGCAATATTATCTGGGCATTAATTTTTTTAAAGATTTTTAATGATTAAAAAAATTGAATACCTAGATTTATTGAATGGAAAAGGACACAGACTTAAGTATAATTCCAATTTTATTGAACATATATGGACAGTTTTTATTTACTCATAAAGATTACAAGGAAATAATTAAATGTCATTAGTGTTTATAGGTGTGGAATTACAGGTGTTTTAAATTTTATTTTTGTCTTTATATTTTCTATGACCATGTATAAACTACACTGGGGGAAGGGAGTGAAAAAAAATAATAAAGCAGGCTTTCAAAGTTACATACTTCACATCAGGCATTTTTGTTGGAATTGTATCACTTGACTTCTGTGCTGTAGTTTCCTTTGCCTTGAGACCAGATCTGTGGGCACCTGCACAGTGTTACTTTAAGTAGAGGTTCACCATTTAGTTACTAATTGACCGTATGAGTTCATATATAAACTTTGTAAGTGAAACATATTTAATGCTGGTAAACTCATGTGTCTTCATGCAAGTGCTTACTTATGCAACTCTTTATTTTACAACTGTTTAATAGGTGCTTGAATGATAGGGCGAGGGGCCCTTTTCTCTTAAAGGGCCACCAACCTACAGTGAATAGAAAATTCAAGAATACATGAGAAAATACCACCTGCTTTGTAAATTAAGAGTGAAGGTCATAAAAGTTCATTCACTTAGTTGTGAAAATATTATGTACTGCTAAAGTCGGGGCAGGAGGGGGGTGCGGGGAGGGAGAGAAAGACATGCCAAAAACGAGGAATGAAAGAAGTGAAAAATAGCCACGTTAGTTGAAAGTGTTTTACTTATTTAAGAACCATAATCATGGACTTCTAAATAATTGTTGTTTGGATAATAGGTTTGGGTGTAGGGAAATTGTGGAATAATTACATTTTCCCCCTTCAAATAAAAGTAGAAGTTACAAATCACTTTATAATGTATTAAATGTGATGTATCATATTTGTAGAATGATTTCTGTCATGGCTCATATAATGGGAAATGTAAGCAGAGATGCAGTACACATTATGATTATGAACACAAACTATTTAGACTTTGATTCAAATCCTGAGTATAGAGTTTGAGCTTGTGCGATCTTGGGCTACATATTGTCTGAGTTTTTTTTAATCTATTAAATGGCAGTAGCATACTTCATTAGGATGTTGAGGATTAAATGAAATTATTTTAAAGCACAGTAGCACAGAGATGGCCTGAAACATTGTAAACGTTCAATATAGCTGTTCCTTAGTATTCATGGAGGATTGGTTCCAGGACCTCTTAACACTTGGATAGCAGAATTCGTGTATGCTCAAGTCCCTGATATAAAATGGTTTAGTATTTGAATATAACTCATGTACATCCTTCTGTATATACATGAAATGATTTCTAGATTACTTATGCCTAATACAGTGTAGATGCTGTATAAATTGTTACTATGATGTATTTTTGGGGAATAATGACAAGCAAAAAAGTCTGTACATATTCAGCATAGATGCAATCTTTTCAAATATTTTCAATCAAAGGTTGTTGGTTAAATTTACAGATGGAGAATCAATGGATATGTAAGAGTAGTTAAAAAATTTTTAAATCTGCAGTGCTCATCTGTGTTGGTGTTTGGATTACTAGTTTTCATATGTTATAGAAACTTAAATGTGGAATATTTAATTTTTAATTAAGACTTCATCGCCTGATTCTTCCAATGAAAATTCCCCGGCAACTCCCCCAGATGAGCAAGGTCAAGGTGATGCCCCACCACAGCTTGAAGATGAGGAACCTGCATTTCCACATACTGACTTGGCCAAGTTGGATGATATGATCAACAGGTGAGTTGGTTTTGCTTTGTTTTTTTAATGTGTGTAACACACAAGAAAGAGCAAACAGGAAAGTAACCCCACTGCCTCCTTAGTAGTCTTTACAGCTTCGTCACTGCCAAGTGCTTTATAAGTCATGATTCTTAATGGATTTAATAAATGAAAGGGAGTGAGAGTGTTAGTAAAATTTTCACATTAATGGTGATGACCCTAGTTGGTTTGTTTCTGAAGTAAAATTGTATGTGCAGTTTCCCTCTTTGAAAGTTTATGAAGTTTTTTTGTTATTGGTCTCTTGGTTGCTGTATGACTTTCATAATTTTGGATGCCCTGAGGTAAATAAGGTCATGAGGACATTGAGTTCCTCAGAGCCTGACCCTAGTGAACTCTTGACTAGTTTGAGCCATTTAACCATCCTAGATTTTTTTTTTTTTTTTT